TTAGCCATGCCCTGACTTAGATCAACCCAGAGGTAGTTTCGGGGTTTGATCTGTGAGTTAGCCATGCCCTGACTTAGATCAGCACAGAGGTTGTTTCAGGGTTCTATCTGTGAGTTAGCCATGCCCTGACTTAGATCAGCCCAGAGGTTGTTTCAGGGTTCCATGCAATTGAATGGCTTTCAAGAAACGTCTATTTTGGTACTATTTCAGAGTTACCTCGACCAAATAGAAAACGTATTAGAGGAAAGTCGATCGTTGTACCAAGGAAATCATTATGAAAGCACTGGACTACAGGAAAGATGTAAAGCTTTAGAAGATGCTAATAAGGAAGTTAACAAAAAGATGGAAGCTAGAAGGGCTCAACTTGCGCTCTGTGGAGAATTTCACAAACTTGTCGAAGAGGTAAATACAGTATAGCAGTTTTCAATATTACGAAATAGACCAGTTTCGAATTCCATATTACCGCTGTTTTTCTTGATTACAGACTCATTTGCACAGGGTTAGCCTCGTATCAGTGTTTAAATATTCACAAATACCAACGGTAAAGTAAAGAATGCACAACTTTAACAATACAAACACTTTGAAACTCGACGGACCTTGACTGGAACACTTGAATATTCTGCACAAACTCGAGGCTAACCCTGTGCAAATGAGTCTGTAAACAAGAAACACAGCGGTAATTTGGAATTCGAAACTGGTCTATTGAGTTTTTTAACACAAAAGTATATCAAAAGTATATTAGAAATTATGGGATACCTTCTCTGATATTTTTTTCAGAAAGCCCTAATGATAGGCAACCCGAAAAAAATATCAGCGATGATATCCCATAATTTCTGATATACTTTTGATATACTTGTACTTGTACAAAAGGATCAGAATTTCTGCATATCGCTGTATATATATATATATATATATATATATGACTGATATATATAATTACCGTGCTCGCGTAACAAGTCTGAGCTTAAATTAAATAAGTGTAGTAAAAAGTCTATCATCATGTGGTAACATACTCTAATATGGGTTTCTTAATACTTGTGGTATGTGATAGCTGTACTCTTATGTGCCTTGGGCGGGCATCATGTTGTAACATACTCTAATATGGGTTTCTGAGTACTTGCCAACTAAACTTGCGCTCAGCGTAGGTGATGAAAAATGAATACAATTTTTTATCCCTAGGTATCCAAATGGACACTAAGCACTTTAAAACAGATCGCACTAATGAAAATGGAAGAAATCCTAACACTAGACGGTGTAGCGGTTCTTACGAAGAACCTTGATGAATACCTTGAGAAATACCCGGTATGGCCGGCAAGCCAGCTTAACCGTATATCCGAGATTGCTACCAACTTCGGAGATAGCCGGATGGTCAGTCAAGCCGAGGGAGTCTTGACCCGATATAAGGAAGTAGAAGATATGTTGGAACAGAGGAAAGGCACCCTGAGAAGAGCGGAGGAAAGGTTGAGGGTAGGTTTGATTTTCATGAGGGGAGGGGTGGGTTTATCACGTACCCATCACGTCTGGAAGTGAAAAACTGCATTTTGTCCTCAAATGTCTGGAAAACTTTAAGCTTTAATTGCAGAAATGAATTTACTGTCTGTTTGAACGTATCCTTGGTTTTCACCTAACGTCATCTGGTGGACGTAAGACTTATTGTTGTTGGTGTTAATGTTGTAGGTGTTAATGTTGTTGGTGTTCATGTTGTTGGTGTTCATGTTGTTGGTGTTCATGTTGTTGGTGTTCATGTTGTTGGTGTTCATGTTGTTGGTGTTCATGTTGTTGGTGTTAATTTTGTAGGTGTTAATGTTGTTGGTGTTAATGTTGTTGCTAATGTCAATGGACTATTTTCAAAAAAAACTTGGATGCGAGGCTCATATGAAGTCACACTTTTTYTCGATGGAACTTGTGGCATTTTTATTGTATTTCCATGTTAGCCTTGCATTCAAGACAATTCTAAGAAGAATCCATAGGCCTCTTTACCATTTCAGTCCACGTGTTATTCCCTAGAGTATCCTTCCATTGTTCAATGTTTGTGCATGAACCCTATTCTCAAGAGAACGAGGTCTGGAATGAGATAACATAGCGCGAAAGATAAAAGGCTATATTATTTTCATCTCTGATGATCTCATTCTTGACCCTTTCTTCCTTTATTTCAGGGTAACCCGTCCTGTGAATTCTCCAGTACGACCACCGGTGGTAGTGACGAGTCCTCCTCGACCCCCCACGACGGGGACGAGGACGAGAATGACCTGGGACCCGATACTGACGATGAAATGGACACCCCTGTAGCAGAAAACCCTGACGTTTCTCCTGAACGAAAGATATCCGGAGATCGAAATCCAATGCTGTACACTTGGAAGGAGGTCAGCAGCATTCAGCCCGAATCACCTCCAGTACGCATGCGTGATGTATTTTCATTCTAATACTACTAATAATATCTAATAACGGATATCAGGTCGCTTAGATAATATATATTCGATTTTTAATAGACCCATTGCATGTGACGTCAAAAGAGCTCAATTTGGAAGACAAAACAAAAGGATTCCAATTTCATGAGAATTGGAAACCTATTGTTTTTCCCTACAAATAGTCCAGCTTCGAGTTCCAAATTACCGCTGTGTTTCTTGATTACAGACTCATTACTCAGGCTTAGCCTCGAATCAGTGTCTAATTACTCGAGAATACCAACAGTAAAGTAAAGAATGCACAACTTCAACAATACGAGCACTTTGAAACTTGACGGACCTTGACTGGAACACGTGAATATTCATCACAAAATCGAGGCTAAGCCTGAATAAATGAGTCTGTAATCAAGAAACACAGCTGTAATTTGGAACTCGAAAAGGGTCTATTGAGCTGCATTCCGACGTGCTGCAAGGGGTCTATAGATTCTTGGTTTCACTTGACTTCATTTCTTGACGCGTGCATCAGCTGATCACAAGTTTTCAATAATAAATTTTCTGGTTGACAGCTTAATGTTTGACTACCAATTTGGAGCAGATAATGAAATTCAAAGACTTTTATCAGCTGATTGAAACCCAGCAATAGGCCGTTTACATCAAACATTCATGTTTTGATATATCACTTTGATAACGAATTAATTCGGCCCAAGGTCCCCCGAGGAAGTCTCTGCTGGTTGGCAGACAAACATGAGAATCGGAAGGAAAAGATAACATTTTGAAAACGTTTACGTTAATCATATTTGTAACCTGGAAACCTTTTTTTTAAATATATAAGTTACATATTTTTTTTCGTCATGCAGTAACATATCCTGCAAAAGGCCTATTATACTCCTTGCTTACTTCTACTTGATCTTATCTTTGTGCATAATGTTAAAGACATTTCTAAGCACAATCTAAGTCTTGTGAAACCGAAAATCAGAATTTTCACCTAAATAACTTGCCTGAGTGAACTGATGCCCGTGCTAATGCTAATGTATAATAATATTAACCGAATAATATTTAATAGGAGGTCGAGCATCCTAAAACAATTTTACGGATACATTATGGCCTAGCTTGGGTACCAATGTCTTTTATTTATCATGCCTTATATGGTGTTGCTTGTACCCAAGCTATACCAAAATGCATCATGAACTCGGAAAAGGAATACGACATTCGTGCTAACACTGCTAATCAGTATAAACACTTATAAGCTATCAAATAACCCAGCTTACTAATCATTCGTTGTTTTTTGTATGAGTTGGACTGTAAGGTGGCATGCATCCCTTTCAATGTGTTCTGAATGACAGGACACGAGACGTAGCGCCATGTTGGTTGACATGACAAAAAACACCAAATCTTTTGTCAAAGTCAACCAAAATGGCGGCTATGACGTCACTTGCACACCAAGAATAGCGGCATTGAAATGAATTCCCATAAAAATGCTTTCTAAACAGCCGAAAACTAACGATACTGCTTCTCACTGTTGAAGGGAGGGGAGGGGGGCTGTCAGTGCAGTCATAACACTGAAATGGCTTCCCACACGGTTCGGCATTCTATAACTTAGAGAAGTTTTCGTATGGCTGTGAAAAGCTCGCAGCAGAAACGCGGTCTTGACACGGCAAAGCATACGCAAGACCAATCACATCGTGCGAGAATTTTCGACTGAAATTTCGACTATATTTACTTACGATTTTTCTTAATTTAACAGCCTCTGGAAAGCATCGAAGAATGTGAACAGAATTTGTCTCCTAAAGTCAAAGAGTAAGTATATTATGCTCTGAAATCCTGTCTCCATAAAGATAAGGCCAGGATAAAGACCATGATACTAGAGTCAATGACTCCCATTGGTCATCCTCCCTTCATGAAAACATGTGATATGGTTATGTTATTTCTGGAAGGGTTGCCTCAGGATTTCCGAAAGGAAAGCCGAATCACTTTGTTTTTCCGACTGGTCCCCGACACTGGTCCGAGTGATTTTGAAGTTTTTCAACTCTATATAATATATAGTGGTTTTGTAGTAATTGTTTTGTATCACTATTTCACGCCAGGAAACTTTCTTACATCGTACAAGAGATGATAGATACAGAGAGAGACTATGTCAAGTCCCTTGAATATATCATGCAGGTAGTGCTTCATATAAGAGGATGATATGATACGATGTGATAAATGAAGGAGTGAATGAATGAAGAGGTGAATGATGGAACAGATGATGGAATGAATGATGGGATGAATGATGGAATGAATGAGAGAATGGATGGAATGAATGGAGGGATGATTGCACGGACGGACGAACGAATGAATAATGGAATGAACGAGAGAATGGAGGAAGGCGTTTATCTTCATTTTTAGAAACTATATTGTAAACACACAAAAAACGATATTAAGATAAAGGTTATTAATTACACATTCTTTTATTTGTCAGAATTATTTATCTAGAATGGAGAATCCTGATTTACTGCCTTCCCTCAGAGGGAAAAAGAATATTTTATTTGGAAATATTGAACGAATATATGACTTTCATAATCGGTAAGTAAAAAAAGATAGCCACAGAACAACCTTTTGCATAAATAAATAAATACCTCAGTCATATCTCCCCGACATGTCTTATGCACACCAGTGAATGCATTTGTGCATGCTCTAAGTCCGTACGTGAAAATTAGTTTACAAACGTGTTCCTGGTATTGGTATAGGAAATTGAATGGGTTCGAGTGCAGTTTGCTCCGGCTCGTGCAATTTGAAAATCTTGAATTCTGCACTTTCACAAACTGCATGAGAACGACTTTGATTTTCTTTTAATTATACGACCATCAAAAAAAATGTGATGAAAAAATTTTTTTTTTCTTTTCATGGTTATTTCGCCTTTTTTCACAGTAATAAAAAAAAATCAGCAAGTAGCAGGTAACCCGGTCTACCCTTGCCACCAGGGTCTTGTTTTCATACTAAAACGCTCTTGAGTTCCTGGAAGGCGTGCTCATATTACGCATGCGCAAACGTTTTAGTTCCCTGTCACCCTTGTATTCATGGAAACCAAAGTTGTGTTAATAAATCCACTGGATTTCCTGTGTTGATGTATCAGTATCAGAATATTTCGTACTTAAACGTGTTGGCCTTCCTTTTTGCAGGTGTTTTCTACGTGAATTAGAAATGTGTCAAGAGAAACCTTTACAGATAGGCAGTTGTTTCTTGAAATGGGTTAGTTGAATCTTTTTCTTTCTTTTTTCTATTCTTTTGACTTTTCTTTCCTCTTGCTTTTTTCAGTTTTCTTTTCTCTTTTTAAATATCTTATTAACCATTTCTAGGTTGAGGAAAAAAACTAGGTTGAGTTGGCATATCAGTGTATCGTGCGGCGGTGTTAGGGGACAAAATAGACGCCATCTTGTCTCCTAAAACAATGCAATGCAATGTCAACTCGATCAAGTTTTTCCATTAACTTCGAAATGGCTGTGGCATTTTTTCTCATTTCTATACTTTTTAAGCTTATTTTCCTTCCTTCTCAATTCCTTTTTTCTTATCTACTCTCTTCTCTTCTCATTTTCTTTCCCTATTCCGTCTTTTCTTTCTTTCTTTCTTTTTTTCAATTCTTTATTTCACTTGGTTTCACTTGGTGGTCACAAGTTCACTTAAAATTATCGTTTTGCTGTTGGTTCCATCCACAGGAACGTCAGTTCTATCTCTATGCCTTGTATAATAAAAATAAACCAAGATCCGATCAACTCTTGTCTGACCATGGAAACACGTACTTTAAGGTAAGTGATACAGTTCTCACAGACTTACAATAGTTCTTATAGACTTACAATACAATACAATGCTAATGATTTGTTGAGCTTGTGGGACATAGCAACGGTAACTAAGGGGAGTCTGAACCATGAATTCTCTTTATGGCAAGAGACTATTGAAAATGGATTGCAAGCTATCGAAAATAGTATTCCTCTTCTTAAGGTGTTTATCTCTTGCTTTTTAGGCTTTCCAAGAAGAACTTGGCGACAAACTGGATCTCGGGAGTTTCCTCATGAAACCTGTCCAAAGAATGTGTAAATATGGACTACTGTTAAGGGTGAGAGATTACGAACTTTTATCTTGCCTCGCTTTCTGTTGTTGTTGTTGTTTTTTTTCCCAGTTATTCAGAAGGTATAGATATTATAGTTGTATAATAATTATCGATTATTAATATATTTCCTTCAGGATATGATCGAGGCTTGTAAGGATGGAGTTAGAGTCAATGAACTGAAGGTAAGTGTAGTTTGTTATGTCTGAAACCCTGAAACAACCTCTTGGCTGATCTAAGTCAGAGCATGGTTAACACGGATCAAACCCTGAAACAACCGCTTGGCTGATCTAATTCAGGGCACGGCTAACTCACAGAACAAACCCTGAAACAACCTCTGGGCTGATCTAAGTCAGTACATGGCTAACTCACAGATCAAACCCTGAAACAACCTCTGGGCTAATCTAATGCAGGGCATGGCTAACTCACAGATTGAATTGGCATTGAGCATGTTAGATTTTGTGGAGAGAGGAAAACCAGAAAATCCAAAGAAAAACCCCCGAATCAAGGGAGAGACGTAACAAACTCTTCTCACATAAATGATTCCGAGTCCAGGAATGAATCGAACCACGGATTGATTCCAGTGTCGCATAAGTACTCATTTCCATGTGTAATCGTTTTGATGATTGTTTTGTTGTGTAGGACGCGCAGAACATGGTTCGATTTCAGCTCAGACACGGCAATGATCTGCTTGCCATGGACTCATTACGTAACTGTGACGTAAGTGCATTCTCGTGAGCATTATATACTACTCCTGATGTCCACACAACGATTATGATTCATTGCATTGAAATAGATTATATTAATGACGTCATTCCCGCAACGGTTGTCAATTAAAATGTACATGGATAAATGACCATGAATGAGCTTAGAGGACATGCAGTGTTTGCCTGTCGTTGTATTCTTGATTCATAAAATTCATTCTGCTGATTGATACCAAGCAATCAACTCTGATTGATAGCACATGACGGACAGTGTTTTCGCGTCATTGTAGCCTGGCAAAGAGTTTCATTAAGCAACATTCATTGATGTAACTAATGTGTACGTATTTTCAAGGTTAACGTCAAGGAACAAGGTCGTCTCCTTCGTCAAGATAATTTCATCGTGTGGTCAGGAAAGAAGAAGCATCAGCGACGTGTCTTTTTGTTCGATGATTTGGTCCTGTTTAGTAAAGCCAGAAGACAACAGGGTGGTGTAGATCTCTTCTATTACAAGAATTCTCTCAAGGTATGATTAACGAAAAGATTCATGGGAAGATTTGGGACGTGACGTTGAGAGTGCAGAGTAATAGCATATTCTGTGCTTACGTCACTATTCAAAGTCATTTGGATATTACTAAATTATGTATGCAAGTCATGGGTCTGTGATTATCGGATTAAGAGAGCGTGAGAATATCTCATGGCTCTCCCCCATTGGAGAGAGGCCTGTATATTAACCACTCCTAAGATAGAAAGTGACACTTTGCAGCAAACACGAAACCAGAACAGCAGGCGATGTAACCCACCCACCCTACCCCAACCATCACTGTCGGGTGTCTTCATGACGATAACTACTCTCCGTGTCGCCCCTGGCTTCAGCGGAGGGTTGTTCCCCTTATCTTAATCAACGACAATGAGCCAGCCCGTACCGCTCAGAACGAGTTACATGATTGGATTAAAAAACAATAGATTGGTCATCCAAACAATAGCACTAAACCTAACCTTACAAAAGCGGTACTGTACTTAGGAAGCAATGAAAATCCAGCTTTCGAGCGGTACTGGATTACTCTCGACAATGACGGCAGGAATCAGTAACATAGTACTATTTTTAGAGCCCGTGTAAAATGCCTTGTCACTAAAAGTAAAGTGTCTCTCATTTTTTACAGACTGCAGACTTAGGATTAACGGAGTCTTTAGGGGATGGTGGACTTAAATTTGAACTTTGGTTCAGAAAACGAAAGACTGGCGAGAAATTCATCTTACAGGTAAACTTCATTTCGAATTATAGTAATTGAAGACTCATTTGCACAGGCTTAGCCTCGCTTTAGAGTAAATCATTCATAAAAGTCAATTGTGATGTAAAAAATCTGCAGCTTCAGCAACACCAATGTTTTGAAATCCCACGGATTTTTAAACGAGGCTAAGCCTGTGCAAATGAATCTGTGGTCTTCAAAGACAGCAGTATGCATCGAATGTGAAACTGATTGTTTTGAAAATGGGGTCTAAGAGAGTAGTTTAAGAATCCTCAGTTTACTGCGCTTCAAACCCCGTCTTACTCAAACAAATTTACTAAAAATTTGATATTAATGTGTTTTGAATTCTCCAATTATGTTGCATTTCCAGGCGCCCAGTATGGAAGTGAAGACATTCTGGTTATCAGAAATAACCAAGATTTTATGGAAACAAGCGATGCGCAACAAAGGTAGGAAGCATATAGTTGGCCCCATCACAGTTGCCAGCGCCATCGAAACGAGAAAGGCAGTGACCTCCGAATGATAGAGACGTGAATAATTGTCCAAGGTGTTAAAAAAGGTCTCTGTCATTGCAAGGTCACAACCGTCCTCGCTACGATAAACAGGCACGGTTACCTTTCAAGATGGCGCAGGAAACCGTGAAAGAGACTATTTGATTGACTTACTCAACGGCTTCTTCGCCGTTGAGAAATAAGGATGGGTGAGGAGGAGGGGGGTTGGAGTGGGCGAAACCTCTTAAGCACGGAATTATACTAGACTGATAATTAGAGAGTGGGTATGTACTTAGAAAAACATCTCAAAAAGGCACACATACGACACCGAGCTTTTTAGAGTTAAACTAAAACCTCTCTAACCTAAATTTTAAATAACATTCCATCTTAATTCACAGAGTACGGCTTGACAGAGGCCTCCACTGGAATCAGCGTTGAGAGCCAACCGGCTTTACACATACCAACAACACGATACGACGAGACACCGCACTACCAGGCATCTGTATCCTCTCTTCATCACCACGGACCACTTTTAAGAAAAACGTCCAATAATACCTCTAATATCACTGCGACGGACAAACGATTATCTTTGATCAGTTCGGAAACAGATTCATCGGCTAGTAGTGGATTTTGTGACGCTGCTACTCACACTACCGAGGAAGAGGGCGCCTCGGCCAAAGGGATTGTCACAACGGTTGACAGTCGCGTCTCTTCGAAAGCACAACGAAGCCCACGCGGTCACAGACGGAAAAAATCGATGGAAGAAGTCCCTAACAAAGTTACAAAGGACATTGAAAAAGGACAAGAGAAAAAAAATAAGCAAAGCAAGTCGCCGAGTCCCGAAGAGGAAAAAAAGTCATCGAATTTTTTCCGAAGTTTTTCGCTTCGTGACCGATCGAGTAACGAACGAGCGACGAGTCCCGAGGAATGTGGCGGAGGCGTAGTTTTACGTCGATCTGTAAGGGAAAAGGACTCTAATGGACCTCATAAGAGAAGGTCTTTAATAGAGAGAATAACACATAAACATTCGGAAGATAAAACGAAAGAAAAGGAAAAATCTCGAAGGAGAAGTCTTGTGGAAACTTGTACGGTTTCTCTTGATACAAAGACTGATGGAAAAGAAAATGCTACAGATTCGACACACAATAAGCAAGGAGTGAAATCAAAGAGTAATTGCGTTGTTTCGGAGGTGAGTTAGTTAGGTTGCTTAAAGCGAATGATGGGTGATGATGATGATGATGATGATACTGATTGATTTTGGTGATTGGTAAGGAAATTGTTGATGGGCGTTGATGGTGGTGATGATGATAGTAATGATAAAAATAAAAGTTGGCCATTATACTGATAAACCTATGTAGTGTTCGATAAAAGATGACACTCAGAAATGTCTCAATAATGTCTTCATAAAAATGCATAAAAATGGGCTTTCTTCTAACTTCAATAAAATGAAGTATACACCACATAAGAAATGACGAGCAAAAGATGTTGGTACCCAAGCTAGACCACAATGCACAGCGTTCACTAGCTCAGAAAAGATCTATTCTTATTATATTGACTTAATTTAAGCTAACATACTTTTCTTATCATAGGTATAACGTATGGAAAATGAATACTCGCCTTACTTGGTTTTTCCTGGATTCATTCTTCTTTCTTCGAGGAAAATACACATCTTTACCGTGGGCGTAATGGTTTCTCATTTCAAGCCACGTGTCATTCCCTTGAGAATAAGATTCTTTGCTTGAGTTGTATCAACATCTATGTATCTCGTCAAGCGCAACCGTTAAACAAAGAAATTATACTCTAGGGAATGACATGGTCTGAAATGGGAAAACATTGCAATGGTAAAGACGTCTCTATTCACATCAGGTTACCATCGCTTTATGTTTTAGAACGGACGCATTTATCTTCAATTCGCTCTGTGAATTTTCCCCATTTTGTTCGTAATTAAGAATGGAATTCTTCCTATCCTTGAGAACATTTCTTCTGAAGAAAATGAAAGAAAAAGAAATAATGCTTGTGGAGACTATCACGCCAAGATGATATTTTAACGAAAATATTCATAGTTGAAGATTTTTTAGAATTTATGAACGCGGAAAAAATTTCCAATCCAAATTATCTTAGAACATGGATCCTCTTTGAACGAAGTCGAAAACTGTTAACTTTAATTATTGAGAATATTGTTAAAATTCTTTCATTATTTTATAGAAAAAACTTTGACTTAATTAGAAACTAGACTCTACACTTGTGCTGAAGAACGAAAGCCCCTTATCGAGGCTAAACAGATGCCTTATTAGCCTCGATCAGGAGCTACTGAAAATTAGCAGCCAATCATGATTGGATATGAATATTCTTTTGTACAAGGTTACTCGCCTCCTCCCCCTAGTGGAAACCTTAGGGGGAGGGGGGTAAGTAGTGATTGTACCGAGGTTAGTGCATGGCTTATTACTAAGTATTATATTACAACAATGATGATGAAAAGGTAAATTATACACCGTGAAAAGATGAAAAAACTTACTGACGTTTCGGACGCTAGTCCTTCGTCGGAGTAAAAGAGAAAG